ATTGTGTGTTTCATTAGTGATCACGTACACTTAATCAAATAGAGAACCATATGAGAAAGAAGAGGAACATCCAAACATACAAGGATGTGAAGGAGAGGTGCTTAGGATTGAATGGTGGAAGTAAGGTATAAACATTGAGGTCCTTTTGTCATGTGTGTGGATTCAGAACCTAGGGCATGTAGAGCAACATAATTCATAACTCTACTCATCATCCACAATGGCTGTTAACTCTCATAACAACTTATTAAGTTGCCACATGAGACAAAAGTAATTGGAATGAACGCACAAGGGTTAGTCAAAATAAATGGTTAGAAAATTGTACCAAAGGTCTGTATTTAGATTGACTATCGGAATCAAAATCTGTAGTAAGTTACCATCTCTGCAAAAATATACCAACCACGCACATGGAGCCAAATACACATCTCTCTTCCCAGATATACACGCCCTGCATGTAGTGCTCTAAGTTTATCTCTCTCTATATATATACACTCTTTGCATGTTGTGCTGTTAGTTTATCTCTCTCTATATATATACACTCTTTGCATGTTGTGCATGTTAGTTTATCTCTCTCTATATATATAACACTCTTTGCATGTTGTGCTGTTAGTTTATCTCTCTCTCTATATATACACTCTTTGCATGTTGTGCTGTTAGTTTATCTCTCTCTCTATATATACACTCTTTGCATGTTGTGCTGTTAGTTTATCTCTCTCTCTATATATACACTCTTTGCATGTTGTGCTGTTAGTTTATCTCTCTCTCTATATATACACTCTTTGCATGTTGTGCTGTTAGTTTATCTCTCTCTCTATATATACACTCTTTGCATGTTGTGCTGTTAGTTTATCTCTCTCTCTATATATACACTCTTTGCATGTTGTGCTGTTAGTTTATCTCTCTCTCTATATATACACTCTTTGCATGTTGTGCTGTTAGTTTATCTCTCTCTCTATATATACACTCTTTGCATGTTGTGCTGTTAGTTTATCTCTCTCTCTATATATACACTCTTTGCATGTTGTGCTGTTAGTTTATCTCTCTCTCTATATATACACTCTTTGCATGTTGTGCTGTTAGTTTATCTCTCTCTATATATATACACTCTTTGCATGTTGTGCTGTTAGTTTATCTCTCTCTATATATATACACTCTTTGCATGTTGTGCTGTTAGTTTATCTCTCTCTATATATATACACTCTTTGCATGTTGTGCTGTTAGTTTATCTCTCTCTATATATATACACTCTTTGCATGTTGTGCTGTTAGTTTATCTCTCTCTATATATATACACTCTTTGCATGTTGTGCTGTTAGTTTATCTCTCTCTATATATATACACTCTTTGCATGTTGTGCTGTTAGTTTATCTCTCTCTATATATATACACTCTTTGCATGTTGTGCTGTTAGTTTATCTCTCTCTATATATATACACTCTTTGCATGTTGTGCTGTTAGTTTATCTCTCTCTATATATATACACTCTTTGCATGTTGTGCTGTTAGTTTATCTCTCTCTATATATATACACTCTTTGCATGTTGTGCTATTAGTTAGACATGTAAAAATAGAAATGGTTTTGATATTAAAAAATAAAAATATTTTTTCTAGATTCTATGGCCTGCATGTAGTGCTGATATATATATATATATATATATATATATAATAAAATATATTTACATGGAATGACGAAGCAGCCACGAGGGAGGCTGAAAAGGGCTGAGGTGGCCGCCCGATGGCACTCCCCGGTTGGTTCGACCAGTGGGAGCGGGTGGAAAGGCTATTTGTAGGGTCCCCTCTTCCCTCTCGTGGCCAAATTAAAACTCCGTCGTCATGTGTGCGGTCGGTCCAGGTCGTCGTCGTTGTCATCGTCGTGTTTGTTAGTTTGATTGTAGGCTCTCTCTCGTCGACGACGCAGCGGAGGGATGAATTGTCATGACGGGGCCCTGGGCGGCGGAGCCACAGTTGTCACTCATGCGAGTGTGGCGGGTGTTGCTGTTGTTATCCGCACTTCCGGAGCACTTTCAAGCTTGAGTTTGAGCGTGTGACAATTCAATCGAGATCACTGGAGCTAGGTTGACTTTGCGTTGTGAACCGAAACTTTCGTATACACAGTGGCTCTGTTGGACGGCTCTAGTAGGACTCGCCCTGGTTACAGAGGTTTCTCGTCGTCCTGAGTCTAGTTTTTTCAGAACGTGGTGTGTTGATTGCGAAATTGGTTATGTCCAACGAGATTTGAAATCGCTGCGGGAGTAGTGTCTCTCAGGGTAGAGTGAGACCCGTTGTCTAATTATGAGCTCAGGGTTGTTTCGTGATCGTCAAAGTTTCGGTGCAGGAGTAGGTAGATGATATTTCCTACTTTTGTGGTGGAATATGATCCTCGATGGCAAGTTGCAATGACCTTGTGAAGTACTTTCAGTAATCTCCCCTGTCCCAAGCCTTCTATTCTTCGTGCCATGTCAACGAATCGACCCCGCGGCGAATTCATTTTTTCATTTATTATTTTTGGAGATGACGCCTGTCCTGACGGCGCCCGTCACCTGCTTGATGTTTCAGCAGGCTTTTGCTGGAATTGAGGTTGTCCAAAGGAGAGATCATGCGATTCTGGAATGATTTTCATGTGAGTGTTTTCGACGTTTTGTATGAGTGAACAGCCATGGAAACTATCAAGGAGAGGAGCTATTACAATTTGAAACTGAGCTATGTTGAACAGATTACCTGGTGGTCACCTTGTTTTGTGCTTCAACATAAGATGTTCATAGAGAAGGGACGTCGATTTCAGAGGTGAAGCTTGAAAGACTGGGGGATTGGCTGACAATGAGGGAAAGCGGAGCACCTCTCCTTTCTCAGACAGCGGATGAAGCGTTGGATCTGATAGTGGCAATAATACCCAAGGACGTGATGCAGACGTTCGAAGTTGAGCGGGAAAGTCTCATTGCAAGTAACAACCATGTTCAAAACCCGTATGCATCAGTTGCATCAAGGGAAGGTCTCTACCACCGCATCTGTCCTTACAAGCAAATTCACCAACTAGCAGTTATTGGTCTTCTATTGGATGGAATGTTTGTAGCCTACTTGTCTGCTCTTCACATGGGCTACCTGAGCTCGGAGGAATCAACTATGTTCTCATTTACAGATATCCCGCCGTCTCTTACATCGGCAAATGTTACTCCTACGGCTTTCTTGAACAATTCAGGCTCAAATACCTCTTCTGTTGAATCTCCTTCTGCGCACCTAAACGCTAGCACGGATGATTTCTTTCGCGTGGATGACAATGTGACTTTCCACGACCCAATCCCTGCTCCAAGCCTTGGATCCGAGAAGAGCCCTGGGTTTATGGAGACTCCAACTTCAATGATTTATTTCCAGAACAGGTCAGAAACATGGCACACCATGAGCGACAAGGATCTCTTGAAGAAAGCATCGTCCTTTCAGCCACTACAAGAAGCTTCTGTAACATTGATTGCGTACATGTTCATGACAAGAGGGCCGCTGCCCTTTGCCTCTCTTTGGGAAAGATACTTTCGTGGTCACGAGAATATGTACAGCATTTACATTCATGCTCATCCTGACTACGTGCCAACCACAGCCACGGGCTCCCCTTTCTTTCAACGCTTCATTCCTAGCAAGGTGCAAAATCCTCTCACTTTTAGATGTTTTGGACACGTCAGAATTACGGAGCAAATTCATGTTTAACGTGGCTGAAACTGTTGGTTGCAAATTTTGGAGTAAGATGATTACTAATTCTTGTTTCATTTGATCGATAGATTGTAGAATGGGGTAAGCTGTCGGTTTACGAGGCTGAGAGGCGGCTTCTTGGCAATGCGCTGCTCGAACAGACAAACAAGTGGTTCGTTCTTCTCTCCGAATCGTGCATCCCGGTTTTCAACTTCCCCGATGCATACAAATACTTCAACCACTCGCACGAAAGCTTTGTTGAATCGTATGTAGATTCAGGGCGACTTGGTCACGGGCGTTTGTACCGAGAAGATTACAAACATATGGCACCTGAGATCACGCCCAAAAACTTCCGGAAGGGGAGTCAATGGTTTCAGATTAATCGGCATCTGGCTCTCGTAGCAGTTGCAAATTCAAAAGAATACATGAAATTTGAGAAATACTTTTGCAAGATTCGCTCGGTTTGCTACATCGACGAGCATTGCCTTCCCACATTGGCAAGCGATTGCGTATCGGACACTCACATTCTTCCAGTTCCATGGTAAGTCGTCGCATCCGAAGCTGTACGAAAGCGTGGACACAGATGCGAAGTTGATCCAATGATTTCGAGAAGGGCACAATTGCACATACGATGGGCAACCGACTTCGAAATGCTTCCTTTTTGTTCGAAAATTTCATCCAAACGCCCGAAATGCTTTGCTCGACCTCGCCGGTCCTATAATGGGGATCCCCTAATTCAACCTCCTTCTTCGTCGTCATTTTCTACTCTTGTCGAAATTCAGACAACATCACGAAGCTCTTGGGTTCGTGTTCAACTGAGACGATACACTTTACAATTCAGAGACACTACCCAACAGTCCTTGGCTGCAATCCAGATCAAAATGCAGGTGAATGCCATTCAACTCATTGAAAGACGACCTTCAGTTATTAGTGGCTTTGCTCTGTGGGTGTTTCACGTTCACTGGTTCTCATGAGAATTTTCATTTTACTTTTTGCATTATGCTCATCCCGCTCAGAGGTTGTGATTTTGTATGTAATTCTATTGAGTTGTAATATTTATTTTAATTTTAAAATATAACATACACAAATCTGCATTCATACAAATTATTATTATTATTGGTGATATTTTTAAGTACTATTGTTTTCAACTATTTTCTCAATATGTATATTAGTACTAAAAAGTACTACTATTTTCATAAACTATAAGATGGCATGTTGCACCTAAGATTATGCAAAAAGTTGGTGGTACAAATCATAGTTGTGAAGTATCAACTATGTTGAATAGATCCTTGCACAAGGCTTATCTTTGTTGTATACTATATATACATGAGAAAAATATTATACATTAATTTTTTTACATCAATTTATAATTGTAATTATATACATGCAATTCTATGCATTTCTTTAGTATTAAATTATACATGATAAAAAATTCATTTTGATTATTCAAATATTAATTTTTTAATACTTATAAAAAAATGAAAAAAATAAAAATAAAATTGACCAATAAAATTATCAATAAAAATATTGAAATATCTTTAAGTATCAAAATTTTAAAGTAGAAATTATAGTTTTGCAATCAAAAAACTTCTTAAAGTATTTGAGAGGTGGCACAACATTTTAACCACAAGTTTCAAGAAAATAAAAAATTACAAAGTGATTTGTAAGAAGTACCAGTGCAAATTGTATATCAACAAACACAAGTTGTAATAGGTTGTCCTTCTTAGCTACAACTAATTAAATGTTATACAAACAACTCTATACAACACAAAAAATTATAATAAAGGGTTTATACATGTTTATTTGCAATTGGGTAGATAAATTTTATTATAAAAGTATGAAGGATAGTATATTATCAAGACTAGATTCATCAACCTCCAAATTGTGAATAAAAAGAAAACATATCATATATAAATATATCCTTATGTATAAATATATATATATATATATATATATATATATACATAATTTAAAAATTATTATTTTATATTTTGATATTTGATATATTTATATTTTTAAATCTATTCTTTTGTATTGAAAAAAAATCAAAAATCAAAATAAATAAAAACTTAAAATAATAATAATTTTTTGAATATAATAAATTTATAAATAATTCTATATATATGAAATTTATGCATACAAAATATTTAAAATTATATATATATATATATATATATATATATATATGCAAATACATATTAAATATTCTTAGAAGTTCAATGTAGTAATTAGTTCTACATAGATGATTTACAAGTAAAATATTATTTATTTTATGATGAATTAAAAATTTTAAAAAATAAAAATATTTTAATAATATATTTTAAAAATAAAATTTAGAATATTCGAAAAGATCATGTTAATTCATGAACAATTCAGAAAGTTCATAAATTATATTGGTAAATCATTTAAATGCCTAATATATAAATTTCTTTTAAAAAATATATTTTTCAAATAGTATCATTAAATAATTAAGTATTAATATAAAATATTATTTGTAATACATAATATAAGGATGTATTTTATAAGTTAAAAAATGATGTGTTTAAATAATAAAGATAGAAGATGAAATTAATGGCAATATCTTAAGGAAGCATAATATAGAATAGATAGTTTATCTATTCTAAAAAAATATTTGTTTAAGATAAGTATTATTAGAGGCAAAAAAATATTTGAGATTTCTTATTAAAAAAGAAAAGACAAAACTACAGTTAGGCAATAATATAAACAAAACTATAGATATGCAATAATATATATATTTAATGAAACTAGAAAGAAACAAGAAGCAAAATCCTCAAATATTTGCAAGGCACAAGAATTGATGCATACAAATAATGTTTCTAAAAAAAAAGTATATGATTGCATAGATTATTGTGTAGATTATTGCCACATGAAAGAAAATATTAAAATATAAGAGAAAAAACCAAGAATTTAAATATCACTAAATTTTCTATTGAATATTTGAAATTGATTCCATCAAAACCTGTGAAAAGTTAATTATATCACTATTAATAATTTTTTATACAAGCTATTTTAAAAATTTTAAAAATTTTAAAATTTTAAAAATAAAATAAAAATAATACAAAAAAAATTGCTTAAAAATTTATGTAAGTATTTTGAAACTAACAAAGAGAAATTAGAACTTTTATAATATTTATTTCTAAAACTTTGATAATTATTAAATTTTATTTTTGGCAATAATAGAATTTTATAATAATAATATATATTTATATAATTTAATTTTTTATCCTTATATCTTATGCAACATAATAGAATCAATTTTTTGTAAAAATGTGAAAATATATTTACACTTTTGGTGTACAAGGAGCTATCAACAATTATATGAGAAGTTTGTTATGAATAAGAAGTGTATCTTTTGTATTTAGTCAAATTAATTTCTTAATATAGCTTTAAAATATAAACAACACCATCATAAAAAAACCATTATTTGGATCATATTCTTTTATATGATTTTTAAGAAGAAATATTTAATATCAAATCTTTAAAGACAAAATTTATGTAAAAAAGTATCAAAATTTCAAATAAAAATTCTATTGCAATAATTATTAAAATAAAATATTTTAAAAAGAATTTGAAGATACAATGCTTCAATTATAGATGAAGTACTTTTAATTATTTTTAATAAATAAATTACATTTTAAGAGAAAAAATATTTTTTTACACAAAAAAATAAATATTTATTAAGATCATTAAATATAATTTATATACAATCTTTTTGTATATCTTATTATATTTTTTTATAGAGAATATAACTAGAATTCGACTATATTCTATGAGAGTTGAAGTCATGGAAGTCAATGGTGATTCAAGAAAGACAAGCAAAAACTAAATACGATGCACTAATCTTAAAAATAAAAATAAGTGAGTATAATAAATTATCTATTATACTATTTACATATTTTTTGATTTAAAGATAATACTATTTTAAAAAGTATATATTTTTTTAATAATTAATATATTATCCTTTATTATTTAAATTTTATAGCTCTAATTAAACTAATTTACCAATTAGATTAATTTTTATTAAAAAAATAGCTAATCACTTACAAAATATTATAAAATTTGTTTCATAAATATACATATTTATTCCAATAATTATCTAAATAATTGTAGCTCTTCTATTGCAAATAAAGCTCTATTTATTTCTTAAGTACAACAAAATAATTGGAGTACTAGTTAAGAAAATAGCTATTATTTTTCCTTTGGTATCTTCCAAAGATGTATCAACTTCTCTTTGGATTGGATCTTTTTCCTTCACTGTAGGTTTAAAGTTGAGATAGCACTCTCTTTAGAAGCTGAAATAAGCTCTATTCATGCATTTCAATAATGCTCTATTTATGCAATTCAAGTTAGTGTTCTTCACTCCATTTTCCATAAATTTGGAATACCTCATGCTCCATATATTGTCATAAAAGCTAAAAGGCATACCGAGCATTGAAAGTAAGAGACTTTTGATGCTTTTCCTTTATTCATGTTTGAAATCTAAATCTCCAATCTCTCAAAGAAATGTCTTTAGTCCTTTCTAAGAATCTATCATTCACCATGTTGCAAGGATTATCTACTATATCATAAAATATGTCTATCTCCATGACCTAAAGCCTCCGAGTGGTATCTAATGCTAAAACAAGTTGAAAAGCTTAATTAGTATCCATCCCTAGCCCAAAGTCTTTGATGTGGTTACTATCCAAGTAGTATGGTGAAAAAAATCAATAATATCAATTCCTAGTATGTACCATAAAAGGGACTACTTAGATACTTGTAACTATCTAAAGGCTAAAAAATAATATGCACCTATAAAACTACCAAGCTTTGTAGTTTATTGGCAATCACCTCTAGATTATTACAAATCTAATATATCTATGAATAGAAGAATCTCACTCGCTAGCAACCTGATCTCATTCTTACAATATACTTATTAACACAAACTAGTACAAATACAAAATAGAATAATGACAAAAAATCTTTGAGAATAATACTCGCAACTAGAAGAAGGTATCAAAAAAAAAATCTATAAATCCACACTAGATCCTCATTTCCAATAATATGTAAGCAAATATCAAAAGTAAACTAGAGTAACTAACATCCATTTGTTGTTGATGGTCACAGTTTACAAAACATATAACAATAAAAGAAAATTATAATAAAGTGAAATGTAGATAAGTGAGAGAAAATCAAAAATTTACTTAGAAAGAAATTAGGATTTTATTAATGCTACTTCAATGCTCCAAATGATCTCCACTCTAAAAATTAAATATGCCAATAGATTCTTTGAGCTTCTTTTTCATAAATTGATTAAAAAATAATCAAAATTTGGATTCTATATGAACTTGAAGTGAGCTTCCAAATTTAATACTTAAGAGTTCTGAATAATATATTTTTTGTTTATTTTTTCTTTTTTTTCTTTTTTTTATTTATAAAAAAAATTAATATTGATTTTGTAACTATAACTATGCAATGGATCTATGATAGTGGATCCTTATCACCATGGCCCTCTGATCATAAAAATCCTTAATCATAGAATCTTGTAACTATGCAGCCCAATCATTGTGATTCACCTAAGGCCATGGCTTGACGCTTTGAGCCACATGACAATGTCATGAGCTGCTATTGGTTGCCGCTAGCTACCAACTATAGTTGCAATGCATCTCTTCTTTGCACATCTTCATGACGCTTGACGAGCTCAATGTAGCATAATAATACAGATTACATTGTGGATTGGCCTTCTACTACAATCCTTCCTATTTTTTTACTACTGCTATAGCTACCCTCCTTTATTGTATTGCATCCTAGCTATAACCAAAATCCCATGTCACAACCCATATTTTAGGACCTTTTTTGTCACAGTTAAGCTACCTATCATGATCATCCAATGCCACCTTACAAGCTAAGTCAATAATTCATCATTGTATCCCTGCAAAAATAATAAAAGATATCTAATATTTTTTCAGATTTTTTAATTATTATTATTTTTTTAATTTTTAA